TGGCGGCTAGTGTAGAACCCAGGCGGACTACTTAAATTAGGTACCAAAAGTACATGTGTGGCTAGTTGTATCCTCGTAAAATTGATGTAATATCGTATTTATCTGAATAAAGCTAAGTGCCGGGGGCCTAAGTAGTCACCTTAATATTAAAAAAAAAAAAATATATTGTTAGCACTATAAAAGTTCTGTTATAAAACTTATTATTATTTTTTTAACACACAGTATATAGTTTACTAATACATGTTATTAGTGTTATTTAAATCTTAGTTAATAATATCAAAGATATGTAGAATGCATAATGCACAATTGATTTTGTAGAAGACTATGAATATTATATAGTCAACTCTCCATATATGCACCCCCTTGGGACTAACTATAGGTGTGCATTTGTAGAGTGTGTATATTTATAGAAAGTAATTTTATAAGTATCATTATTAGTTAGAAATGAAACATAGGGTGCAATTATAAAGAGTGTGCATTTATAGAGCATGTATATATAGAGGTTTGACTATAGTCAAGATATAACTTTGGACATTTTGATTTTTACAATATACTGTATATTTTTACTATAAAGATTGGCATATATTCAGTAAACCTCTTAAGAATGCATTATTAAAATAAAATATACCTTGTTGGGTGTCTAAATACTCAGAATTTTATTCTTTATCTACCTATTAAATTAGATTTTTTGTTTCTATGTAAAAATTTTTTGTAACCCTAACCCAACATAGCTATAATCTGAGTAAATCGCAATTGTTAATTATAATAAAACTAACAATATATTTTTAGTATGTGTGTACATAATTTCAAATAAAGTTTAGATAGTAACTATTGTGGCTGTGTAAACGATTTAGACTGGGTTATGTTAATTTTGTAATGGTTTTATTATAATTTATACTGTAAAAGTTCTTACTGTACTTACAGACTATTGTGATTGCATAAGTTGTTTATATAGGGTTATGTTAGTTTTGTAATATACTTATCGTGATTTGTATAGTGATTTGTTGTAGAGGTTCGGTTAATATACTTACTTGCTGTGGTGACATAAGTGTTTTAGGTAGGGTTATGTCAGTTTTGTAATAAATTATAATAATTTGTAAAGTGATTGCTGTAAAAGTTCGGTATTGTATTTGCTGATTATATAAGTGATTTGGATAATGTTATGTTAGTCTTAGCATAATTTGTATAATGATTACTGTAAAAAGTTTGGTTACTGTACTTACTGACTATTGTGGTTATATATGTGATTTAAATAGAAATATGTTAGTTTTATATTGGCTTATCGTGTTTTGTATAATGATTGGCTGTAAAAGGTTCTGTACTTACTTACTATTGTGATTTAGGTAGGGTAGGGTTATGTTAGCATCGTGTTGGGTTATCATATGTACTTGCTGACTATTGTGGTAGGATTGTTGATTTAGATAGAATGGATTCACGAGGCGCATCACTATCTATCGATCTGTTATTCTACTTCAATTCGAAAAGATTTTGGTGGATTTTTTTATTTTTTGAATAATACAAGTAAAATGCATTTCATAAATTTTTGAAAATCTATAAGAGAAAAATGTTACTTATTCTGTATATGCGTGAGTTTCTTTTTATAACCTTTTTATAACCTTTTTAGAAAAAAAACAAATTACGGTATATCTACGAAAGCTTTTTACAATATTTACAATTAAATTTGAAAATTTTTTAAATATTCTAGAAGCATTAAAAAAAATAAAATTTGCTACTTTTAATTGTTCTGAAGCTGTATATATCGCTCTGGCAATGCATTCAAATTTGCATGTAAATCTTTGCACTAACGAAAGACATATTATTTATGTTCGTCTGTATCCTTCAATTTAAACATTAAAAGAAGCGAATGTAATTGATCATTATTTTTTATAGCTAATTTTCTTGGTTGCAATAGTTTTCGTTTTTCAGATCCCGAAAATATTAAGAAACTTAATTGCTTGTAACTTCGTCACTGTTACATGTGGTTGTCTCCATACTAATAGAAGACGAAGTTGAACAATTAGATATTATCAATGAATTATCTACAGTAACATTATTTTAACAAACTTAGTTGTCGTTACTGCTGATAAATGTTCAAGTTTTAACAAAATGTCTTTAAGTGTTGGACGACTATTCGGATCAGAAGACCAGCAATCTTTATATAAATCAATGTAACTTTGGGGTGTGTTAGGAATAATATTTTCTCTTCTTCCATTTGAAATTTCTATAATTATAGTAAAATTAGGAAGACGATGAAATGGAGGAACTCCACTTGTGAGCTCCCAAAATAACACTCCTAAGCTATAGATATCAGATTTAAAGTCACATTTTATTTTTTTCGTATTTTGAATAAAACATTGTGGTTCGACGTAAGCTGGCATTCCATCAAAGAAAAAGCTTGAAGAGTTAGGATCATTAAATTCCTAAAGTCGGCAATTAAGGCTCTGTCGTCATTTATCAAAATATTTTAGAGTGCTATTAAGATTTTGTAAAACATAATCAGTTAAAAATTATGATAATGAATTTAAAGAGAAATTAAGCATTAAAAAACTCACTAGATCCCTGTGAATAATTCCTTTTAAATGTAAAAAGGACAATCCATCAGTGATTTGCATTGCAATCTCTATAAGTTTATTCCATGAAATTTGATATAAACTATCTACTCGTTTTCCTTCTAAGTATGAACGTAAACATCCTCCATCTGCATATTGCAATATTAATATGAAATTACACGTGGCTTGATCTAAAATTCATTTAAGGTTATATAGGTAGGTTAAATTTTTGAAAATTTCTAAGAATTAATCTTAATCATACCTTGTGAAATCCTGTATAATTTGATAATATTAGGATTATCGATGCCATATTGAAGATGAAGCTATACATATATGTATTATTATGATACTATTCAGGATATCAAAAAACAATATTAACGTCGTTACCTCTCGAATAAATCTTTTAATATTCTTTTTATTTAAAATTAGATTATTTTTTATACTTTTCAACGCGTATAGTTTTCATTGGTAAATTGCTGAATACACAATCGAAGATGCACCTTGTCCGACAATTTTACTATTGCTGAATTTCGAGAAATCGTATTCCTGTACATTTAATTCAGTTTTTAATAAATTTTTAAAAGAGTCGTCTAATATATTCTTTTATGATTATTTAATATAATTTTACGTGTTAATATGTAAAAATGTGAGATAAAATGCATTAAAATATAAAAAGTTCTCTTACTTCATCTTTTTTACATGGAGAATTTTGCGGTCCGTTATTTGACCATTGGCTTAAGTTATCTTTCAGCTCAATGGCCCTTGGTCGTTGAAAAGGTTCAACATTCCAACATTGTACCATCATTTGGGCAAATAATTTTTGTGCATGTTTTGGAAGTTCTGGCTTTAGACCATTGTAGATTTTAATTTCCAAATCATCTTCGCAAGGAACGTTGCGGGAATATACCCGTCATAATCTTGTAATATAGAATACCAAAGGTGTATATATTTGCTTCACAAGTATATTTTTTAGTGTACAAAACTTCGGGTGCTATATAAGGTAAGATTTTATATCTTCCATCGTCATCATTTTTTTGATTATATTCGTGTAAGTTATCGATAACACCCGTAAATGAATAAACCGATATTTTGATTTTGCTTTCATGAACAAAAATGGTTTTATCATACTATGAAATATTGTAAATAAAATATTAACGTTAATAGATTATTTAAATAACTTATTTAAATAACTTATTTAAATAGGGTACTGACATTTGCGCCCCAAATTTGATATTCATAAAATTAAAATTTTTTAAAATTTGAGCGAGAGTATCTCGGTAACCACCGGCTGAATTCGATGAACTTTTTTTATTTGAAATTCACGAATCGTAGAATTTAAATAAAAAATAGCTCATCGAATTTGGCTTGATTGTTACCGAGATACCTTCATTCAAATTTTAACGTCTATCGAAATAGAAGTTGCGCCGAAATTTTCTAGGCAATCACCAGGCCAAATTCGATGAATTTTTTATTTGAATCCCATAAACCTGTGGAATAAAAAGAGTCCATTAAATTTGGATTGTTGGCTGTCAAATATAATCGCTCAAAGTTTGAGAAAAATTTTGGCCCAGCTTCTATTTTGTTAAATGTCATAAACTTTGAGCGAAGGTATTTCGGTAATCACCAGACCAAGGTTGAAGAAATATTATTTGATTTTTTTATTATTAAGTTCTTAAGATTAGTAAAATTTAAATTAAAAAAAAGTTCATTAAATTTAGCCTAATTTTTGCCAGATACTTCGCTCAAAATTTTAATTTATAGAGGGTATGAATATCAAAATTGGAGGTACGAATATCAATTCTCTTAAAATAACTATATTTTATAAAATATCATACAAAATTTCGAGGAATAACATTATTTTTATGTAAGAAAGCAAGACCAGATAGTATTTCTCCTGCAATCCGTAACTTATCATCACTTTCAAGTATCGAAAGATTATCTTTTAGATACTCATGTAAATTTCCATGATTAGCAAATATCAGGATCATATAATATTCGGTCGATAGGCCTATTTTATCGTAAGATACGTTTAATTCTAAACTTACGTGTAATTATATTTATAATAATAAACACATACCCTTAGTTACACCACAAAACCGAACAATGTTAGGATGAAAACTGATCTTTTGCAGAATTTTAAGCTACACATTGTAAAGATAAAATTATAAATTTAATCATTATTGAAATAATTAGCATAAAAAATAGTACATAAATAATACCTTTTCGATAAAATCTTTAATAATGCTATCACTACTTATATTAGTGGTCAGGATTTTGAGAACGGCTGTTTCTCCAAGATCATTCCAAAAAAATGTTCGCACACGTTTGCTGATATATTTAGAATTTACAAATTCAACATTTTCAAACAAATTAATACGTCCTTCTTAGGTGGCTTTTTCAAGAAACGGAATTGAACTTTTCATTTTGAAGAATAATTTCTTCTGCATAATGATAATTTGAATATTTATATTACTCTTAAGTAACGCAATCAGGCATAATGTCGTGTACATATAACCTTATCGTTATTCATATTTCCTAATACAGAATAGTTGAATGAGTTCAAATGTTAAAAGATTTAATGAACCACATCCTCTTCAGTAAGACATGTCAAATTCGATTGAATCTCAAGCACTAGAAAATTGGCTGAACAAAGCCATTAATGAAGGTTATATAAAAACTTATGAATATAAGGAATTTGAGAATCTTAAAAAAATTGCTGTTGGGGGATCTGGAATTATTTATAAAGCTCTGTGGGAAGATTGTAAACTTAAAGTCGTACTCAAGAGTCTGAACGTTAAATATGATATTAGTCGAGAGGTATTGAATATTTTAAAAGCATGCTTTTATGTGTTTTCAATGGTTTCAATGTAATCTAAGATCGATTTTTTTTTAATATATGCGTAGCTTAAAATTTGGCAAGATCACAGCTTTCATCCCAATATTAATGAATTTTATGCAGTAACAAAAGGTAATTATTTTAATGCGATTAGTTGTATGTACATGCTTCACAATAATCTAAAATTATAAGCTATATGATAAATAGATTCATCTGGATCATACTATAATGTTATAGAATTTGCCGAGGATGGAAATTTGCAACAATATTTAAATGCTAATTCAGGACATAAATGCACCGATAAATTACGTATTGCTTACTAGGCCTTGCCTTTTTGCATAAGAGAGATGTTGTTCATGGTGATCTTGTAAGTTAATATTAATTTATGTATCCTTATTGAATGACTTTTATTAAACAACCTATATATATTTATAACACTCTACAGCATTCTCAAAACGTTTTAATTCATAACGAAAAAATTAAGATTACAGATTTTGGCCTCTCTGTCCACACTGAAGATATAGAAAATCTAAATTCATTTCATGGAATGCCAGCGTTTATTGACTCTCAATTTCTAAAAGATTATTCATACAAGCTTACTAAAAAATCTGATATATATAGTTTAGGCGTTCTTTTCTGGGAAATTTCAAGTTGCAATACTCCATTTAAAAACAAGTCAGCAAGGGAAATAATTTACTTTATATTGCAAGGAAAAAGAGAAACACCTATAAAAAACATGCCGTCAGAATATATTAAACTTTATACGCATTGTTGGGATGAAGACCCAAAAATACGTCCAGATATTAACGCTGTTCTTGAAGTTTTGAATAAATCTCTACAAATTTGTAAAACTGCAGTGATGAGTGACGCTGAAGTAATGAATAAAGTTAGATATTGTTATAAAAATGGAATTGATGTTATAGAAGATAAAAACAAGGCATTCGGATACTATCGTAATGCTGAAAATATGGGTGACGCTGAAGGAATACGTAAAGTTTAATATTGTTATGAAAATGGGATCGGAGTTGAAAAGGACGAAAAGAAAGCATTCGAATATTATCGTAATGCTGCAGAGATGGATAACATTGAAGGAATATATAATCTTGGGCGTTGTTATGAAAATGAAATAGGAGTTGAAAAAGATATAAAAACCCATAACAAGGATAGCAGTATCTTTAACAAAACTAATACACTAGAAGAGTGGTTCAAAAAAGTTATTTCCGATGATATTGATTATTATGAATATAGTCAATTTACTAAAAGTGAAGGAATCGGCTCTGGAGATTTTGGAACGGTTTATAAATGCCAATCAACATTTGCTCTTAAACATATTAACGTCAATTTAAATAGAGGAACTATACTAGGATTTATTAAAGAGGTATAATTTATTATGCAACGTTAAGCGTTTAATCAACTTATATCTTGCGTAATTACTAAATTTTTTATATTTTAGATTAAATTGTTCAACAAAGTTAGCAATTATCAGAGTATTATTTCATTTTATGGAGTCACAAAAGGTACATTACTCTTTAAAAGTATCAGCAATAACATAACATTAACTTAGAAAATTTATTTTAAATAGACCATGATGGAAGTTATTATATGGTTATGCAATATGCTACTGACGAAAACCTACAAAGATACTTGAAAAAAAATTTCAAATTATTGCAATGGACAGATAAATTACACATTGCTAAAGAAATAGCGCATGGCCTCATGTTTTTACATGTACATGATATAATTCATCGAGATCTTGTAAATATATTGATTTTTTAAATTGCATAATTATAATGTTTTACTTCATTAACTGTTAATTTTAATAAATTTTATTTCATAGCATTCGATGAATATTTTAATTCATAAGGACAACCAAAATTGCAGATTTTGAACTGTCATCTCGTTATGGAAAAGAATAGTATATAGATCCTAAATTTCTTATTGATCTTAATTACAAACGTGATATGAAATCTGATATTTACAGCCTCGGGGTGATCCTCTGGGAGATATCAAGTGGCAGGATGCCATTTTCTCAATTCGTTTCAAAAGAAACGATTGTTATTAAAATCATTCAGGGAATGCGAGAGGAATCGATAGAAGGTACACCACCACAATATGTTGACCTTTACAAGCGTTGTTGGGATAAAGATCCTGATAGACGCCCAGAGACGAAATCTTTAATTACAACATTATGCGAACTTATTTCTAACAAAGCTTTTGTTCCGAGTAATGAAAGTAATTCTACAACATTATACGAACTTATTCCTAACAAAACCTCTGTTCCGAGTAATGAAAGTAATTCTACAACATTATACGAACTTATTCCTAACAAAACTTCTGTTCCGAGTAATGAAGGTAATTCTACAACATTATACGAACTTATTACTTCTATTTCAAGTAATGAAAGTAATTCTACAATTCAGCAAAAAAGCAAAGATTCACAATTTTTTGCGTCAGAATTACTTTGCGTACAAAATGTAGACTTATTATCGACATCATCA